CAGCTTCTTCTTCTATTGCAGCAAGTACATGTCTCTCAATGTCGTTCTTGTGTAAGACAAAATAACGTGAGACAGACAGAGTCAAGATTACGTCCTTCTTATAGGTTTGGTTGTCATCGCAGATGCTGTTCTATCGAAGCTTCTTCCTCCTAAGAAAGAAGACAGACTTAATTATCTCAATTCTTACCCATCCACCCCCTCCACACACACACACACACATACTCACACGCGCGCACACACACAAAAACACACACTCACACACACACACACACCCACACACACGTTGGCGCTCATATTACCTTATGCAGATGTGAGTCCCGTAAAACCCTCTACTAAAAACACACACACACACACACACACTCACACACACACACACACACACACACACACACACACACACACACACACACACACACACACACACACATACACACACACGCCTTACACTCCCATCCCAAAACTATTAACCACTCCCTCCCCCCTATAAAGAAGAAAAAAGACCCCAACCGACCAATAAACAACAGCGCCTCTCTGTCCTACCTAGGTACAAAATAATCAAGTTTTTAATCAGAAAAACTCAATATCAATCCAAGTTTTGAATTAACCTTTTGGAGATGATCAATATCGGAGCGAGGTTTCAAAACATTGCAACCATATCGACCTATGGATCGTTGTTTGGTAATCGATCTTGCTGAACCGGAACGGGTGGTGTGGCGTTTTGGCGCTTCGTTGTCGCACTAAGCAGACCCAAGTTCGATTCCCAAGTGGAGACATTTGGTTTTCTTTTTATTATTGTGGTCTCTCTGCTGGAATGTTGTATCCCTCTCAACCCGGGTTGACCCAGATAGGCAAAGTTGGAGGTAGAAAGTAGCCTCTTAACTGACTTGAATTGTGTCGATTGGGGGGGGGGGGGGTAAAAACTCAAAAAAATAAAATAAATATTCGACAAAGTCATTAATCTCTATTGCTCTGTTCCTCTAAGTGCCACCTTCTTAAGACTATCACCTGTTTAAACGAACACTTCCAACTTGCCTCCTTGCATTTGATTATAAAATGGTAATACATCTATCCAAGAGATTCACCTGCTTAAGACAAGGTTTTTCTTCTCGACAATTCGTGGCTGTCTTGGATAATTTTGACTGAAATTTGTGTTTGTGTGTGTTTTATTGTTGTTGTTGTTGCTGTTGTTGTTGTTGGGGTTTTTTTTCCCGAAGGCTAAATTTATTTAGTTTTCATTGGTTTCTTTTTGGGATTACAAAAATTGTTCGCCCTGAGTTGAAGCCGAGAGAAGTTTCATTTGATTTTTTTTGTTTCCTTCTCAGAACCCTTGGTACAAACACACACACACACACACACACACACACACACACACACACACAGAGAGAGAGAGAGAGAGAGAGAGAGAGAGAGACACACACACACACAGACACACACACACACACACACACAAACACACACACAAACATACACACACAGACACACACACATATGCTTTTTAACACTCATTAATATTGCCCTTATGTAAAGAAGGAAATCTAAAGCATAAAAAGAGAAACTGAAGAAACAACAAAAAAGTTACATTTTTAAAGTCAATAACAAAAGCAAGAACAAAACAACAAAAGTAACACCACCACCAACAGCAAGAACATCAACAACAACAATCACTTTATGCAGTAAAGAAACGCTTTAGAAAAATTCACTTCATAAATCCTCTTTTCAAATTGTAAATAAAGGCCCTTTTATGTCTCCCTCGACACAAAATAGATAATTCAGGAGGCGGGCTGCGGCCCTGTCTGTTTAAGGCTAACTTTGTTCGAGAGGGATGCAGCATTCCTACAGAACGAGTGAGCTAGTAGGTAACAATTCTCCTCAATTGGGAATCGAACTCGAGTCTTCTGCGTGCGGCGTCGGAGAGCCTAATCAATACACCACAGTGTTTGCTTATATGTTGTGTTAAATCAGCATACATATTTTAGCCCTTTTGTGAACAAAAATTGCCATATGTTCGGAGTATTCGGAAATTAAATTAAGATATACAAATACATTCAACCCATTCAATCGCTAGCGGAAAAAAACAACTATAGTAAAGTGTGATATGGGTGTAGTTTTTGCGTCGTTTTGTGTCTATAGATTGATCCATAAAACTTACGTGACCGCAACCTGTCTCGTCTCTGTGATATTTCGGGTATGTTGTTTTGTGCTTGTATATTTCTCGGAAAATAAATCACCTATATAGGTAAATTAGACAGCAGCCAAAGGACGTGGACATTCTCTATCAGTCTCTTCATTTAATTTTCTTTGAACACAATTATAGTGAATCAAGACTAGGAGTGGAGTTTATTTATGGTGATAACTCCAAGCTTTGTTGGCGGGTTTACGGATGGAAGTGCATCTTCTCTCTGAACGGAGTATTGAACCCAACCTGTTTGCATTTACAGGTGGAAAAAAAAGTCTGTTTACTTACCCCATCTCAACCTCTCTTACCCTCACTCTGTCTCTGCATCTGTTTCTGTCTTTGCACCCCACCCCACCCCCCCTACCTCCCTCTCTTTCTCTCTCTCTCTCTCTCTCTCTCTCTCTCTCTCTCTCTCTCTCTCTCTCTGTGATTCTCTGACTTTTAAAGTCTATCTTTTACAAAAAGTTCTTCTACCTCTCTCCCGGCTTTCTATTCCTTTCTCACGTTCCTGTTTTTTACTTTCCCTCACCGACTCGAAGGTGTAATGGTTTG